GACGACGGACTGATCTCTCTCTCGACAGAAGCAGAAGCTATTGACCTTCTCAAGCGCACTCAAGCATCACTGGCAGGATCTAATCTTAAACTGCATAAGATTGCCTCCAACAGTATCAAAGTGATGCGGGCTTTCACCCCTGAAGATCTGGCTACAGGTTTAAAAGACTTGGCGCTAAATGAGGAAGTTCTCCCAGCACAAAGAAGCCTTGGTCTGTAATGGAGGATAGATTCTGACACCTTCACATTCAAAATTGCAGCTGACGATAAACCCTTCATTCGCCGAGGAGTGCTATCGACAGTTAACAGCCTCTTCGACCCACTGGGCTTGGCTGCTCCAGTGACCATTCGAGGACGAGCACTACTAAGGGAACTTTCAGCTGACATATGCGACTGGGATACAGAACTTCCCACAAACAAGTTAAATGAATGGGAAACATGGAGAAGATCACTACAGGATTTAAGTAATCTTCAGCTTCCTCGTGCCTATATACAACAGTCCCTTTCCACTGCCATGTATACTGAGCTGTGTGTATTTTCTGATGCCTCAAACTGGGCCATAGGAGCAGTAGCTTACCTGAAAGTCATCACTACAGACGGACAGTGTCGAGTCGGCTTTGTACTTGGGAAAGCCAAGCTAGCTCCTAAACCAGAGCCCACAATCCCTCACCTGGAACTCTGTGGGGCAGTGCTGGCCGTCGAAGTGGCAGAACTAATCCTCAGGGAACTCGATCTTAAACCTGATACTGTGAAAGTTTTCTGTGACAGCAAGGTGGTTCTCGGATACATCCACAATGATTCTAAACGATTCTATGTGTATGTGCGCAATTGTGTTCACTGATTTCGACAGACAACTTCTCCTCAGCAGTGGCACTACGTGCCAACAGATCAGAATCCAGCTGACCTAGCCACCAGATTGGTCAAAGCATCTTGGCTTGGAGAGACTATGTGGTTTACAGGTCCAGTTTCTTCACAAGCCTCCTGTGGCTGAAACACATGAGCCCTTTGAGCTGGTGGAACCAGATGCAGATGTGGAGGTAAGACCACAGCTGACATCCTGTGCTACCCATATAACTATGAACTTGAAGTTGACTTCAAATAGGTTCCAACGCTTCTCCACCTGGAGGTCTTTACTGAGAGCAGTTGCCTTCTTGAGCCACCAGACTCAATCATTCAGTACCAACCCCCCAAA